GATAGAGAACTGTTTCAGTAATGTTATCATGAAAACTATTGCAAGACATGGACTTCTAAATTCTGAAACGGTGGTTATAACAAAAAAAGATATGCAATTATATGTATGTTTTGTATACTTATTCTTTTGTCATGTATAGTTTTTTACTGCTTGTTTTGTTATTTTTTAATTGGTTAATGTTATATCGCGAATCCAGCTTATCGTGTGCCACAGGGTTCATGAGGTAAATTAGACTGAGCGAATGTATTTGTGATGCTGGGGTCATTAAAGACTATTGTGCGATATAAGCGTATGCAGTTGCAGTTGTATGCAGTTGTATTTGTAAAAATAATTTTAGAGAGAAAGATAATATGACCAGAAACTGAGACCGAAAGACTGGGATATAGCATGCATTTAAACAGTAATGTAAGAAGCCAAAAGTACCAGAGGGACATTCGTGGCGTCGTCCGCGAAGCGGAGTTTCTTTGACATTCCGTTCACCAACAGCCGAACCCCGTTAACCCTATCATCGGCCATCTCTTTCGACCGCCTACAAAGCAAGCCGGTATCAACTGCAAACAGTTTCGATATGAACACAACCGTCGGAGCGTTTTTGGCCGAACAGTGCAGAAGGTACGGTAGCATGTTTTTCGAGGCTTCAGGCAAGGTATCAAAGTTCTGACCCGATTTGCACATCATCTGTCTCAGCCGCTGTTCAGGCAGCGATGACGGTGGTGGTAATGTGTCGCACACGGTGTCCAGGACCGCAACGGCCAGCGGTAGCCAGCGACCGAAAATGCACTTGACAAGGGCTCGACGATCGCCGCCAGAACGCAGCTCCTTCGGTGTCACGTTCAGCTTCAGTGAGTGGATGATCTTCAGCATGTGAGCGTCGTCCGGATTCAGTAACGCTGAATCATAGATGGCCAACACATTGTCGAGGATCATCTGTACGAACAGCGGTTGTCGACCTTTGGCGGCCGCGTTCGGTAGCACTCGTTTGGTCTTGGCACTGAAGTAGAAATCACCCCACATCGCTTTGCGAAGCACAGATGCATCGATACTCAGCTTCGACGCCCAGATTTTCACGAAGTCGTCAATACGAAAACCCCAACCGTCCAGTGCACTGGCGAACACCACGTTGCCACGTTCCGGGATGAAGTATGAGCTTTCCTCGTTTTGGTCGCTATCGCTGAATGACGACGGCCGGTCCTCACGCTCTTCGCGCTCCTGATCCCCAATCACCTTGGAGACGAACAGCTGACCGGCAATTGCGTTGATCTGCTCAACGATGAACTGTAGCCGCTTGTATGCCTCCATTGGTGTCATCTTCAGCTCGGTGAACAGGCGGTCGATTTTATTCAACAACAGACATGGTCTGATAGCCTCCTTCCAAACTAGCCGCAGCGCAGAGTTCGTCTGTGCACAAACACCTTCAACGACGTCGATCACCAAAATGGCACCGTCGCTCAAACACGTAGCCGTCGACACTTCGCCGTAGAAATCGAGATGACCCGGAGAATCGATCAAGTTCACCAAATACTCCACATCTATAAACAGGCGACAAATACAATTGCATCAAAAAGAAAAGTAACAGATGTTTAACTTTCAATCCAGGGTTTCAGCTGAATTCCACCATTAGAAAGACAGAAAGGGTACAGATCCTTTGTTACTCACAACTGCGTTTCATTACTGACCATCTGCAAATCATAATC